AGTTTGTGTTCATCATGTGTTAGTTTGTGTTCATCATGTGTTAGTTTGTGTTAGTCCATTCAGGAGAGTAACCCAGAGTGAGGGAGGTGGTTGTCATGACGACCTGTGGGCTTCACTCTGTGTGTTTGTGTTGAACAGGAAGTTGACGTCTATAAATCATCTGGTGGTTGATTCTTGATCTAAACGAGCTGCACATCTCTCAGTAGCTGTGCTGCCCCGCTGCAGTATTTAAATAAAAGTATAAAAAGTTTTTTTTTTGTAAACATCTCATGTTGCAACTTGAGCACCTGCAGTTTATACACGTGTGGCCTCTAGATGTTCAAAAATAGATTATTTTTAATTTTAGTGGGTGTGGCTCAGATGTGCTCGATAGTCCGAACATTACGGTAATAACTTTTTATTTTTTTCCAAATCAGTAAAAACTGTATTCAGTTAATGTCTTCAGGGAGTTGCTTGTCGTTCCGTGAGTCACGTGGCAGTGGATGAAGGTTTCACCTTGCAGGATCACGTCACCGTTCATGGCAACTTTTCAAACATCTCCTCTTTTTATTATTTTTACTTTCAGAGTACGAGTTGTGGATGACGCTCAGCTACCACCACGTGTGATTTAAGCTCTGTATTTGTAGTTATTGTATTGTGGGAGTGGTGGTGCAGAGGTTAGAGACGGTGGCCTGTGATCAGAAGATCGCTGGTTCATCTCCCAGTACTGACAACATCAAAATGTGGGTGGGAAAGGTGAAGCACCGACACCTGCCTCCACCCTCATCTGCCCCACTAGGCCCTTGAGCAAGGCCCTTAACCCCCACCATCTGCTCCCCCGGGTGTTCTAGATGCAGCTCTCTGCTCCACTCAGAGGCTGTGGTTGATCAAGAACATCTGGAGTAGAAACAACCACCAAGTCTTCGTGTGACAGTTCGCTGTGGTGACCTCTGAAGAAGGAGCAGCCGAAAGAAGAAAAATAAGAAGTTGTAGTTTTTTAAGTTACTGACGTGTTTTGAGTTCGCTGAGATTGCTCTGCTGTGGCGGCCATTTTAAATGGTGATGACATCCAAGGTTGACTTTCTGAGCTTCATCAAACTTTGTCTTCTGCTGCACGAGATACTTCCAGAACCACAGTTTGAATAAAGGGGTCAAACATGAAAGAGGTCCATCTGTGTGAGCTGACCCTGCAGCGGTTATGTTTAGTGGCTTGTGTAGATCTTCTGCTCCACCGTTCGTCACAGGCGTTCTGGTCTAACTGTGGTTTCCTCGCCCTGCAGCCTGCGAGCTCATGAACCAGGGCATCTTGGCGTTGGTGACGTCCACCGGCTGCGCCTCAGCCAGCGCCCTGCAGTCTCTGACGGACGCCATGCACATCCCGCACCTGTACATCCAGAGGAACGGCGACGGCTCTCCCAGGACGGCCTGCCAGTTCAACCCGAGCCCCGGCGGGCAGCGCTACACGCTGGCCGCCCGGCCGCCCGTACGCCTCAACGACGTCATGCTGACGCTGGTGGAGGAGCTGCGCTGGCAGAAGTTCATCGTCTTCTACGACGTCGAATACGGTAAGTCATCGCCGCGCGTTGATTCTCTCTGCTGGATGGTTGTTTTCAGCACGAACATGTTTTTGTTTGGGTTCGTTCAGATTTATCTGATGCAGATTCACAGCGAGGCTGCTCAACAAATATTGAAAAAGCATTAGGAGAAGCCCCGCGGTCCTGGATGGTTTCCAGTGTTTTTGGGGCTTAAAGAGGTTTTGTGCTGCAGAACTTCAGAGGCCGGCCCTCCTGGGTGCGGTGTTTGTCTGGAATAGCTCACTTTGATTGTATCTTAATGAAATCACATTAGCCTCCGTGGGTTTCTGAGCTAATCAATACGTGATGGTGGCAATTACAGTACTGGATATAGACTGATGCAGGCATTTAGCTTCTCAGATACTCTTATCCAGGATGATTTAAAGTAAGTGCACGGGTACCTGCAGGTCTTAACTCGTCAATACAAAGAGGGACACTGAGACAAAAGGACAACAATGTGGCTGCAGAGGACAATTAAGTCCTGAGAGCGAGAACTTTTCTGACGTGATAGAAAAACTGTTCAGACCTGCAGAGACAATTCAGTTCAATTCAAAAATACTTTATTAATTCCAGAGGGAAATTAAATGTTGTTGTAGCTCATTCTCCTGGTTTTATTAAAGAGTTGTTCTAGATGCTGATGACTGTGGGCAGGAAGGATCTCTTGTGGTGGTCCATCATAGTGAATCTGAAGAAACTGGCCACAGGTGCTGATTTGTTTACTTGGACTTGGTGAGACTCTCAGTCCTCCTGGGCAGCAGGACCACCTGAATGTTGAGCAGAACTCTTCCCAGCGCGATGGCCACTCCTCTCAGCAGCTTGTTGAGCTCCTCATCATTGCAGACAGCCAGATGCAGGTGCCTGGGGATGATCCTGGGCCTCTTGTTGTCACAAGCCGCGTTTCCCGCCAGCTCCAGGATTTCGGTGGTCAGGTACTCGAGCACCGCCACCAGGTAGACGGAGATGCATCCACGGCGGCTCCTTTACAACTCGTTTGGGATTTGGGACTATAGTTGAGGTATTATTTGAGCTTTGAGATGTTAATCAGATGCTCCCAGTTGTAAAAAACACATTGTTGCCATGGTTACGCATCATAACAAATGTCCAAAACTAAAAAAGTTTCAGTAAAAATCCTTCCAGCTGCACAGCATCTGATACCAGAGGAAACTTCTTCTGGTGTTAATGACCAGCATCTCTGTGGAGGACAACTGATGTAGGAGCCTCGGTGTCTTGTTCCTGAGTGATGGGAGGATGCAGCGTGAGGTGAACTAACAGGTTGGGGCTTGTCTGCAGTAAAGAGGGTGTCGCTCCGGTCTGTTAATGTGAAGGAGCTGAGCTGAAAGGCAAAGCTTTGGACTTAATGGTTCAGCAACCCAACCAGAGACGAGAGGAAAGATGTGGATGAACGAATCATTGATTGTCTTAGACTGGTTTGGTTTTGTTGTCATTTGTTCCCATTTTTTGTGATTCTGGCTCATTTGACCGATGCTTGGTGGATAAACTTCCTGAAAATGTTTTTAATTTGCTGAAAGCTTCATTGCAGCCAACACTCGGTGTGTTTTCTGCCACATGAGACGAGTTCTGGTCTGTGTGTGAGGAACATCATCGGCTGTTTGTTGCAGCTCCTCGTGTCGGAGCTTCAAACAGAAAGCACGAGGCCGTTGTGGCACATTGTTGTAATTCTGTCTGTAGAAGAAGCGAGCAGTAAACAAGCGTCGTGTTGTCGGAGCTCATCTGTTTACAGTTTCCACATCACAGCCGAGCGCCGACTCTAATGCAAATAATCATAAAAGCTGAGGCTGTCTGAGAAGATGCTGCCGTTTTCTTCAGTCCTCCATCGATGCCCCAGCTGCTCATGTGCTCTCTGACCACCTCTGATGTCTTCAAGTGGATTTATTTCAAACCTCTCTGCTCCGTTGTTGCTGCTGCAGCCTCCAGACAGAAATCTAAAACACGACGAGGGCTCTGAATGTGTCAAAGATCCCTGGACGTTTTAAAGGAGTCCCGTTGAGCCGAAGAAGAGAAGCTTCAGATGATGTGCCCCCACCTCCACCCAGCTCTGATGGAAACCAGAGGCAGTCAGCAGGCTGAGAGCTCAGAGAGAACCTGTGATCCAGCTCAGGTCAGAGCGGAGCTGAGGGCTTTTACTGTGACGGCAGGAGGTGAACAAACAGACCGAACTGTGAAGAACCAGAGCTCCTGACGACGTTTCATCACAACAAGAACAAAATGTTTTGTGGTCTGAGGTGACGAGAAGCAGGGAGGGAACGTTCTCCATCTTCTACCTCTTATCCACAGCCGGGTTGTGGAGGGAACTGGTCAGGAGAGAAACCCATACCTTCCTCTCCCCAGGGACACTCTTCTGCACCTCCTGGGGGTCCCTGGGGTGTCCCCAGACCAGAGAGGATCCACAATCTCTTCAGAGAGTTCTGGATCTGTCCCGGGGCCTCCTGACAGTGAGTCGTACCCATAAAACTCCTAAAGGGAGGTGTCCAGCTCCGATGAACCACCTCAGCTGACTCCTGTCGATGCAGAGCAGCAGCTCTCCTCTGAGCTCCCCCCAGATGATCGAGATCCTCAACCCATTTCTAAGACGGACCGTGTGGTTGGTCCGGTTTATTCTCATGACATCACCAGTCAGCAGCAGATCTTCGTATGGACTCATGTTTTTGTTGTTCTTGTTAAACGGAGCCAAAGTGTTTTAATTTCCTGCAGATGTAGATGATTCTACAGAGAATCGTGCTTTAAGTGGAGAAACAGATGTTTTCTGCTCCCACCATGGCTCTGAGGTCCCGCCACAGCTCCAACCAATCAGCTGCAGCCACATCAGTCTGAGGCGAGACGCTTTGTTGTCTCTGAGGCGACGGTTTGATCCCTGAACACGGACTGGATGGGACCGTGAGCTGAGTCTGGACTTCAGGTTTATATGATGAGGTCAAAAGTCAGAACACGGTGGAGCAGCGGCTTTGATTTGCCCACTGGCTGATCCTAAAGAATATTTTAAAATATTTTACTTTCCTGGACAAGTTGATTCCTGGTTTCCTGTTTGTAGCCTCATCATCTGTTTGAAGATTATCAAATTATCAGAGTTCTTTTAATTTTGATTCGTCCGTCAGAAAGAACACGTTTATCGTTGGTCTCTTTCTGAACTTAAACTTTCTTTTGTCCATAACTTCTGATCCACTCAAGATCATTTATAAAACATTGTGCATGTTTGTTCCACCACTTAATATTGTCCTCCCCCAGGTTCAAGGTCAAGGTCACAAATCAAGGTCAGATCTAAAAGGGACTTTCCTTGTCTGAACTATAACCTTTGATTCCCTCAAAATAATTCAATGAAACTTGAATCTCCAGTGAAACATCAGTGGTTTGTATAACCACTAGTGTTGCACAATCGTCCTAGCTCTTATTTCAAGGTCACAAATGAAGGTCAAAGATCATACAAGGTCTTTGCTAGTCTGGGCCATTGCTATAGATTGCTGTATGTTATTTTGCTAACAGGCATAGCTGTGCTCCTGTTACAGAAGCAGTTGAATGAAGCGAAGCTTCTGTCTCGTCTCGTCACTGGTCGACGTTTATCGGGAGTTTCTTCGAACCTTCTTGTTCTTTTAGGCGTTGGGTTTGTTAAAGTGAGTGAAACTCGTGTTTTGGACGTGACCTCAGGTTTAGTTTCTGCTGCTCTCCTCCACTCGGTTTGGTTCGTTCTTCTGATTTGTTTCCTACGTTTTGGTCATTTGGATCTTTGATGCTCGTGAGGGTTTTTGAACACCTCCAGTGTCCTTTGCTGACCAAACTGAGCGTGAAGTCCGCAGACACCATCTTTGGTCCGGGGCGGACTCTATTCGTCTTCGTCTCACCGCTCATTGTCCTGGTTTGTCCCTCCTCTTCATCTTCATCCTCGGTCCTCCTCCCGGAGACGAGCAGACTCATTAGAAGTTTGAGAGGAGCTGCAGGCCATTTATTCACATTAGAGCTTCGGTGCTGAGGATCCCAGCAGCAGACGGGCGTCGTCCTCGGCTGTCGGGCCAAGCCTTAGTGGACCTGTTGGGGCTGTCAGCGGGTCGTGATGATGATTAAAGGAACCGCTCGGGTGGGCTCCCTCCACCCTCACGTCTTCATCTTCATGAACGTCTTCTGTTTGTTTCTTGAAGGGTGATGAATGAAGACACGAGGCGGTCGCTTCAGGACATTTGAACCTTTTTTTAGTTTCACATTTCAGTGTTTTCACTTGAAGATGATGTTCGTGAGGATTCAGAGCCCACTGAAGGGTTCTGGTTCCTTCACAGTTGCTCTCTTCTTCAGAGATCCTCCCCCCCCGCTCCTCCTTCTCCTCCATCTCCAAACAGAAATGCTGAGTCACTCTGTTTTCCTGTGTTTTTAGTAGTAGAGCCCGACCGATTTGGACATTTTGGCTGTCGCCGATACCGACACCGGGCGGGTAAGACGACCGCCGTTAACTGATATAATCGCTGGAAATTCTTTAGCTTTGTCCACCACCAAGAATCTCAGAAAACAGTGAGTGGAGTGGGGTTTGTTTATTTAGCACAGCTGTTAGCAACCATGAAGCTAAGCTAATCAGACCAGCTATACGTAGTCCCACAGCAGGTTAACAAGTGGAGCACTGGTCAGAAAAACAGTCTTCATAACGTGCGTTTACATTTTCTGTCCTCCACTATTCACCATGAAGTTATCAAGTGTGTTACAAAAATATACCTTAAACACCTTCCTGTTCATTGTTCAGTCACGTACGGTGAAGGTCTGATTAGTATTGACCGCAGCAGAGTTTATTTTTCTTTGTAGAGAAGTAAAGGTTTCAGACAAACGATACATTTAATTGAGGACGACAAAGATAACGTCACTAACACTGAAATATTTGACCTCTACGTTACATTTATTGTTCTGGATGAAGTTTTACAAGGCTGTAGCCTATGCTAGGTTATCTAAATGTTAGCTTGCTAACTTGAGAGGCATGTAGCTAATGACAAGCAGGTTGG